ACATCCTGTGTTGAGGTTGTCCATGGTAACCTTCACTTCTAAAAAAGCTGATCCTTTTTTTACAGACTGAAACACTACAACTTCAGGACCCTTAGAGATATTGAGATGCTCATCTCAGTGATAAACCAGATCAAGTGGGCAGCTACAGAACTCCATTTGGAGCTGCTAGCAGAACTGCTCCATATCTCCCAGGACATCTTAGACTTTTGGGGACTTAATTACCTGATCAGCATTTACAAGGCCATTGATAGGACCTACCCAAGCTCTGGAGCTGGAATGGGATTTTCTGTCTAGGAAAGATGGACTGTGGTCAGTATTTTTCTCACTTGTGGTGTTATATTCCCTGGAATTAGTGGTACAATTTCAGTATTGACTGGGAGCTGAGCTGGGCTGCACCAGGTGAGAGCTGAGGAGCTGCTTAGCTCCACGTTCACTGTAAAACCACCTTCCTCAATGCACGTTTCTCTCGTCGTTTCCCAAATGTTTCAGTGAGGCAGGTTTCACTGCACATGGCATTTGCCTCTAAAAATAGGTTTTGTGCAATTCACATGGAAGGGGAAAGCAATTATATCTCTACTATGGGCAAAACATTCACTCCCTGTCCACTGGCTGACTTCAGAGCCTCTTCCATGATGATTACCATCATTTTTCCGGCTGAGGTTGCTGACATGGAGGTGAAGTGACCTCCCCAAAGCCTCTCCAGACCTGGATCCAAACCAATGTTTAAGGTCAAAGACGACTCCACCTTCTGATCTCCAGACAGGGTGCAGGTCTTTTCCCTTCCAGCTATGGAAAGTGATTTTCTTTAATCACTCCATGTTGCAAGTTGAGGCTGGAAATTAGACACCTAAATATGCCAGAAACCTCACGGCTTGCTTAAATAAAAGCCATGTCTCAACACAGAGCCGTGGCTGCACAGCTTGTAACAGCCTTTGCCTCAACATTGCCTTACAAGTGCTACGTGCCTGGTTTCTCTCAGGTGCTCAAATTGATGGACATAACAAAAGTTACTACAGCTCTGACCCGTGAGATGCATATTCACTTGGGATTATTGCACAAATATCCAAATGTAATGTTTGATCTGATGAAATGTCCTGTCTCCTTTGGAACCCAGCTGCTCTGTCCTCTCCAGGCCGACGAGTACGATGATAAGAACCACTTTTTTAATGAGTCTGAGCTTATTCCCTCTATCTTCTTGCTTTGAAGGGTTATATGGCAGGAGCGTATCTCAGCAGGAGGGTTGTTTTGATAACCACGAAGCATGATGCTACCTAGAAAGCAGACAGGCAGGTTCTCCACTGCTGGAAAGTGTCCTAGTTCCTGCTTTCAGCAGAGCGACGACTGCAATTTGCACCAGCAGAGCAGCAGGTGAGGCCTGAGTCAGGGTTAGGTCTTGGGCTGGGATATTCCCCTCACTAGCAAAGGCTGGCGACTAAAACTAAGCAGCTCCAAGAGGCACCAAGGCAGAGCCCCACCTGCCATGAGGTAAGGAAGGCAGTTTCATGGATGAAGACACTCTATAGGAGATGATGTGGAAGTTTCATGGATGAAGACACGCTCTAGGAGAAGATGTGGAAGTTTCATGGATGAAGACACTCTATAGGAGATGATGTGGAAGTTTCATGGATGAAGACACGCTCTAAGAGAAGATGTGGTCTAAAATTCAGGTGTTCTGTCCTTCGGTTGCCAAACAATTATTAAGAAAGGAAGTTACACCACAGCTAGAAACAGCATCTCCCATTTGCAGCACAGGAATCCCAACCGGTGACAGGTACCAGCTCAGCCTGTTGTAATGATTGTATCTGGAGTGCGTGCTCTGATAAAAGCTCTGGTCAAACGGTGGAGACGGGACAAAGATAGTCCCAAGACAACCAAATATGATGAAATTCACCTCTGTGTGGGAAGCGTCATCTCCGTTGCCGAAAATAATCCTACCATCAGAAGTGAGGACTGTTTGACTGATACCCTGATAGCTCCTTGAGATTTTGAGGTTATTAATTATCTCTATATTTCCCAGAAATCATCAGTGAGCAATTTTCACTCAGTTAAACCTTTTCTTCCATGGAATAATGCTTAGGGAATAAACTGTATATGCCACCAGCTCCCTTCATTTCACATGTAGATTGAAACATATTTTCAAATGCCATTCAAGCACCTAAATGAGACCAGTGTCCAAATTCCATTTGGGTGTGATCAATCTTGTATCCTATTAAAAAAATTCCTTTACCTTTCTCACGATACATGGAGATAAATTCACTTCCTTCTTCTGTCACATTGAGATGGGTGGAAGCTGTGTCTTCTGTACTGTGGAAAATAACTTGTATTCAAAATGATCTGTTCTGAAATGAAAGAAGAATTAAATTCATTAAGTTCTTCACAGGGGAAAAAAAAAATCAACCAATCAATCACGAGTTTAAAGAATCACAAGAAAGTCACTTTAGAGAATTCATTGATGAAAAGCAGGTGAGAGAAGTACAGATTTGCCCCCCTCTCTTAAACTACAAATACATCTTAAGAAGCAGAGGCATTAGCTGACATGACATGACTCATGCATGGGTTGAAGCAGACCCATGTTGGTTGACACTTTGGCTTTAAACTGGAATGGCTTTAAACTGGAAGAGGGGAGATTGAGATGAGATCTGAGAAAGAAATTATTCACTGTGAGGGTGGTGAGACACTGGAACAGGTTGCCCAAGGAAGTTGTGGATGCCCCCTCCCTGGAAGTGTTGAAGGCCAGGCTGGATGAGGCTTTGAGCAACCTGATCTAGTGGAAGGTGTCCCTGCTGATGGCAGGGGGGTTGGAACTAGAGGATCTTGAAGGTCCCTTCCAACCTAAACCATTCCATGATGCCACACCAAGACCCCTGATCTTGATGGGGTCTGCAATTAACCTGAGGGTATGACCTTTCTTCAGACAGAAAGTTTTTTTTCGCTAAATCAGCTTGATCAGAAAGGGGATTCAAATGTCTTCTGCACCAAAAGACTCTCTTCACAATGCCTACGTGTAAAACAAGTCTGTGGAGGAAACGCACAACGGCAGTTGTGAAAGAATGAGCTCATTACCTAAGGAGGACTCATTCCCAGAAGGCAGGGCTTTGAAACCGTATAAAAGTTCTCAAATCTCCATGCTCCACCATCCACTCAACTTCGTGCTTCTCCCTGTTGACTGGTTGGGTAAGTCAGAGAATCCTTTTTTGTGATGTCTCTAATTTTACTGCTTGGCTTAATGTAGGCAGAGTCTTTAAAGAAGTGTTTTATTTGATGCCTCTGAATACACAAAAGATCTCTGCAAAGAAGAGAAATTGTGAGCATTGGGGTGGGACAGGTAATCTTGGAATGACTCTGGGAGGCAAATTCAGATTGCGTGTAAATCTGAGGATAGTTAAGTGCTAAATTAGACTCTTTCTGAAGAAGAGATTAGATAAAATTATGTTGGTTTAAATATAATTGATCCTGCCTTCAGGGAAGGGGAGGGTGTCAATGGCCTCCTAAAGTTCCTTCCAAATCTGTTCTCCGTGATACTGCTATTTATAACAAGAATATTTTTAAAAGTTCAATTTCATTGAAGAGCTCTTTTGTAGAAGATAGATTTGGGAGTACAAGGGGCCGTAGGGAGCAGAAGGGTGAAAGTATTCCGAGTGTGCTCATTCATGCTAACTTTGTCAAGAGCAAGATATTAATTTGGTTTAAGATCTTATCAGGTCCTTATAAAGAAAATAGGAAGAGATAAGTGATATTGATCTGGAGGATTTAGGAGGACGTAGAAGAGATGAATGAATTTGCTTTCAGAAGATGTTCTGAGAGAAGTAGGCAGCATAGGGAAGGAAGAATGGACTTGCACGCTCTCACATGATCTGTGTTGGTGCTAATCCTGTGCCGAGGGGAATTTAATTTTCCCCTTCCAACCAACACTTCTGTGATTCTAATCTTTTATTTATGGCCTTAGATTTTTTGTAGAAAAATCAGCAGCACAAGCTTTACCAAAGACACAGCACCAGTCCAGCTGACCCTTCAGCATCTCATAAAACAGAGGTGATTTCATAAATTGTTAGGAAAACCCATTGTTGCACATTACAGGCCTTGGGAGAAGAAATCCCTCTTGATTATTCTGATTCATGCAAGCTAGATGTATTATTAGTGACCATGATAATCCAGAAACACAGGGATGCATTACCACTGCTAATTCTTTCCATGAGAGTTGGAAGGACAAAGCCACAGGTAACCTCAATCCATTTCATCATCAACGAGGCCAGAGTGAAACCAGAGCAAGAGGAGGAGTTTGGCTTATTGTTACTGTAAAGACTCCTAATACTACAGAAATATCCTGGTGAGGTCTACCTTGAGCCTCTAGCTCCTCAAGTTTCTAATTCCAAGTCAAATTGGGATATCATTTTAAACAGGGCAAAATTAAATTAAGTATTTCAGTTTTGTCAACATAAAATATCCTGTTGGGCCCAGATTTCTATTTTTCCTATTTTTCGATGCACCAAGCATTTTAAAATGTTTATCTTCAGCATTCTTTTGGGTTTTTTTTTTAATTATTATTATTTTGACTTTCTGAAACCGCTATCAAACCAGCAGATCTGTTATTTGCCAGCTCCTCTCATCAATTCCCAAGGAGAGAAATGAAAGGGAGTTAACACCCTGGGAAGAGCTAAGCAACAGGAGGAAGAACTCTGAAGTGCAAATCAGCTCCAAATTCAAAGGAGTGGCTCTACCTCAGGTTAGACCTGACAGGGCTGTCCCTGAACAGAAAGGAGGTTCAAGATAAGACAAGAGTCAGAGCAGGAGCTAAAAGGCAGGATGAAAAAAAAATAGAGCAAATCATAATCCTTTCAGAGCCAACCTGCCTTGGGAAACTAAGGGCAAACTAAGAGAATTGTACTCTTGCAGCTGATTCATGTTTCTTATAATGGTTTCACCCTTCTCCCAGTGCAGTCCATTTAGCAGACACGATAACACTCTGATATTTCTTTCAGATAATCCTCTTACCTTCAAAGATGTCTTTGAATCAAGTGCAAATCAAGCAGGAAATCACCCTCCCACCTGGCCTCAGCAAAACCGTTTCAAAGGAAAGCCAAGAGCCTGTGCCATGCACTGAGCCAGTCCAATGTCCACAGCAACAATCTGAAGTCCAAGACCCAACACCTTGCCCAGAACCAGTCCCAGAAGTGGTGGCAAAATGCCCAGAAAAAACAGTGCCATTGCCAACACCGGTGGTGGAACCAGGCAAGGGAGAAACATCAGAGGTTGTTATACCCGAGTGTCCACCCCAGGAGCAACAGCAACAACAGCAATGCAAGTTACCACCAACTTTCCCAACTGTATCATGCCCTGAAGAGAAAGCAGAGTGCAAAGAGCTGCCTGTGCCAGACCCTGTTTCCTGCTCTGAACCAACTGCAAGTGTGCTGGAGAAGCAAGAGTGTAAGGAGATTCCTTTGCCAGTTCCTACTACCTTCTCAGAGGCTGCAGAATGTCCCCAAGAGAAGCAGCAATGCAAGGAGATCCCTGTGCCCATCCCTGTTGCATCCCCTGAACCTGCACAATGCCCCCAGGAGAAGCAGGAGTGCAAGGAGATACCTGTGCTCACCTCATGCCCTCCAGAGAAGCAGGAGTGTAAGGAGACCCCTGTCCAAATTCCTGTCCCATCCCCTGAACCTACACCATGTGCCCAAGAAAAACAGCAGTGCAAGGAGACCCCTGTCCAAATCCCTGTTCCATGCCCTGAACCTGCACCGTGTTCTCAGGAGAAGCAGCAGTGCAAGGAGATCCCTGTGCCCATCCCTGTCCCATCCCCTGAACCTACACCATGTCCCCAAGAGAAGCAAGAGTGCAAGGAGATCCCTGCGCCCACCCCATGCCCTCAAGAGAAGCAGGAGTGCAAGGAGATCCCTACTCCTTGCCCTGAGCCAGAGAAGTCCTCCCTTCCAGAGAAGTGTCCTCCCATCGAGCAGCAGCAGGTGAAACAGTCCATCCAGTGGCCACCAGCGCAGAAGTAATAACTTCCAACTGACAAGAGAGAAGAAGAAGAAGAAGAAGAAGAAGATTGCAAACCAAGACCTCAATGTCTCACAACCAGAGGTCATTTTCCCAACACTCTTTTATTTGCTGCAGAATGTCTGCTCAGAAGCTTCCAACTCCCCAACCCCAGCTAACGCTAACGTTGTCCTCTACTAACATCCGTCCTCTCACCGACACGTCGGGACAGTCACTAGATAACAAGGCTTCAAGCGATGTCATAGGCATGTGCGTTCAGCTTTCCCAGCAGCCTGAATTTCTACCCTCTCCCAAGCATCCCACTGGCTTTTAAAAGCCCAGAGAGAGAGAGACCAAAGAGCATGATGGCACGCACGAGTCAAGCTTCATTAAATCAAATATGCAAATTGAACCCAAATGCAGTTAGAGAACCTTAGAGCTCATCCTCCAGACTCATATGTTGCCTCCTGGTTTTCATGTTTTCCTCCCTGTAAGCCATCTCCCACTTTGCATTTAAGGGGTTTTTTGGCCTATTAATAGTAAGATTTGAGGTTTATGTAGAACCTGCTGCTCAGGGGTTCTGTATCATCAATCTGTAGCACTGAATATTTTATGCAATTAAAAAAAAATTAAAAATCCATTGGGTTCAAGGAAATAGAAAGATTTTTTATTATTATTAATTTTTTTGAACCAAAGAGCCATCACCTTTTAACAATCTGCTTAGCTGACTTGGTAGTAATCAGCACTTTCCTCAGAGAGCTCACCTTGGATTTTCCAGGATGTGTAAAAGAACAGCTGATGGAAAAAAATATAGAGATAATGAAATCCAATCCAGACATGTTTTGAAATAGATTAACCTCAGGCGTGGCTTCCATCTGGTAGACAGGATAAAGGAGGAAGCATCCACAGTGCTGTTTGAATTACACCCTGGAACATGTTTCACCACACAGCCTTGTTGCGTATGTGTTTGGTACTTATCTCTAATTATTTTAGGCTGATATTGTATCCAGGATTTATTTCACTGTGAAAATCGACAATAAAAATGACTTTGAATACCAAGTCGTGGAGAGTTTTACTAGCTGCTGTTTAAAAAGATGAAAAGGAGGCTCAGCTTGCAAGAGTCAGTCATTTTTCAGGCTCAGAGATGGGTGAATCAGGACTCAGAATTTCAGGGGCTCACAGGGGACCTGGGGTTCACTGCTGCTCTCCAGGTTAGAGAACTGCAGGAGCTGTAGAATCATAGTGATTGGAAAAGACCTTTAAGATCATCAAGTCCAACTATATCATAAAATCATCGAATGTTGTGAGTTGGAAGGGATGATGGAGTCCAACTCCTGTCCCTGCACAGGACAATCCCAACATTCACACCATGTCCCTCAGGGCCTTGGCCAAATGCTGCTGGAGTCTTGTCAGGCTTGGTGCCATGAGCACCTCCCTGGGGAGCCTGTTCCAGGGCTCCACCACCCTCTGCCTCAAGAACCGTCTCCTCATGGCCAACCTCACCCTCCCCTGCCACATCTTCCTGCCATTTCCTCTGCTCCTGGCATTTGTTGGTGGCCAGAGAGAAGAGATCAGCACCTGCCCCTCCTCTGCCCCTCGGGAGGAAATTCTAGACCCCCATGAGATCTCCTCTCAGTCTCCTCTTCTCCAGGCTGAACAAACCAAGTGACTTCAGCCTCTCCTCATACAGTTTCTCCCCTAAACCCTTCCCCAATGTTGTGTCCCTCCTCTGGACACTCTCCAGGAGCTTTAGATCCTTTTTCTCCTGAGGTGCCTAAAACCTCTAAGTACAAGTCAATATGAGCCTTTCCAAAACATTATCCCAAGTTGTCAGCTTCACCCATGTCCCTCTTTCCTGTATCTGTCTCAGTCCATGGGTTGCCTGATGGCAGTGAAACACTAATTGCACTAAAACACCACTCAGCAAGGCACCTCCTTCCAGAGCACAGCACATACCGAGCTGTCCCCATGGTCCATCTGCCCAATTTAACCACATTCACAGCCACTCCATGACCTTCAGCAGACATAACACATGGGCAGGTCTATGAGGCAGGTTGCAAGCACACCACAAACGAGTTTTTCCCACACTTCAGATGAGCCAGGAGAGATGTAATCTCACCAGGTTGGCCCTGTGCCTGTTAGATGGGTGTTAGATTCCTCCAACCTCATCATCTGATCACAGAATCACACCGAGCCACGTAGCTCCTGGTATGCAGAGCAAGCTTACACCTGTCTGCCAGGAACCAATATCAGATCACTCAACAGTTTCTGGATTTAGAATTTGCCTTCTCTACTGTACAGCTGACTGGAAATCAATTCGCCAAACCAGTATGTCATGGGGAGAAACCAAAACGTTCTCAATCTTCTTTTGGATCCTTTTAAAACACAAACTATTCGTCCTGAGCAAGCAAAAACTTTCCTTTCAGAGTTAAAAACTTCCAAAGACTATTTTTCCCTCTCAGCAGTTATAGTTGAGACTATAAAACCACAATTAATTGTTTTGATAGACCCACAAGAATATACTTCAGAACATTGTATCTTGCATGAAACAAGATTTTTTTTTTCCCCAGTTTGCTCCAGTTCAGGATGAAAACAACTTTCAGGATCACTCTGAGATGGGAAGCACATTGATCCTGACCCAGTTTTGACACCGAGGCAGCAGCTCTGCCCCAAAGGATCCTGAATTTTAATGGGTTTTTCTAGAAATTGGGATAATTTCATCTCCTGTTTGCTCAAGTAATTTCACATTTCTGGACTATTTAACCATCATATTAACAGCTGGAGGTTTGGGGAATCTGTTTCTTTTCCAAAATAAAAATGTGGACAAATAATTTCTTGGGAAATCTGGAAGGCAAGTGTGGATGGATCCCTGTGTAAGTGTGCCTTATACACAAGGGTACATCAAAAGGTAATTCCTTGGCTAATAAAAGAAAGCAAAAGAGATTGAATGACACTAGGAAAGTGAAAAAAAAAAAAATCAGGAAGCAAATAATGAGATAATTATCATTTTATTGTAGCATGTTCCAAATTAAAGATCAGAAGAAAATGGCCCCACAAGATTTATTTATTTTTTTTTTTTAACAGTAGAGGATGAATAAGAAAAAAAAAAAAATCAGGAAGCAAATAATGAGATAATTATCATTTTATTGTAGCGTGTTCCAAATTAAAGATCAGAAGAAAATGGCCCCACAAGATTTATTTTTTTTTTTTTAACAGTAGAGGATGAATAAATCAAAGTTAATGAATCACATCTCTTTGTAAAGTAATTTCTGCTTGCAAGCAAAGGAGGAGTGCTGCAAATTTTTCACTACTCCAGCAGAGTCAACAGACAGAAGGAGAGCTTGGAAATAAGCATTTGCATCTTCCATGGCACTTGGTGACCATGGCTCTTAGTGCTACTTCTGCTTTGGGCATTGCTGCTGCTGTTGCTGCTGGGGGATGCTCTTCACAGGACACTTGACTTGCCCTTTTGGAGCTTGGCATTGCTCCACACTCTTTGCAGGACATTTTTCCTGGCATTTTGAAGGTATTTGCTGCTGCTGTTTCTGCTGGTGGGAAGACATCTTTGCTAAGCCTGGAAAGAAAACCAAGGTGCCATTTCAGTTATTTGAAGCCCTACACACATCTCCTCTCTGGATATTACAGTTTCAGTCAGTTCTTCAGCTTTGACATCAAGAGCCACCAGTGAAGAGCCTTTAAAAGTTAATTCTACCAACAAAACCAGACACCAAAACTACTTGGAAATCCCTGAGGATGCTGCTGTTCAGACCAAATTTGTGTTGGTGACACCAGTTTGCTGTAGCTGCTCCCATATTGCTTTTCTGGGCTCCTGTCCCAGTTAACCTCCATGGAGATCAGCAACTCTGCTGAGGTCTCAGGGCATGCCAGTGTCTAAGCATAAATAAATAAAAGAGGCAAGCACCATCCTAACAAAGTTGTGATCCAAGTGGTTACAGAGGTGGAGAGAAGAGACACAATGAGAGGGGTTTTCCTTCTTCCCCCTCTGGTGACTATTTTTTTGAGCTTTCCAACTATGACAGACTAAGAAGCGTGTTGAGGTCAAGGAGAACCTCAGAGCAATATTTTAAACTAGGCAAAGAGGAGGAGAAAGCTGGTGACGTTTGAGTATTGCAAAGGGTTTTGATGAAGAAATTATTTCATAAAAATCCCTTCTAGCAACAGCCACATCTCTACTTTTAGGTCATTGAAAACCTGAGAGCAGGAGCCAGGTCTCTGGCTGTTAAATGAAGGTGGACTGTCCTCCTGCTCAGTGAGGAGATGATTTTATATATATATATATATATTAAAAAAAAAATGAAACTCAGACCCCTGGAGATCCAGGAGACTGCAGTGATCAGCCTATGGTTGCTCACCAAGCTGCTGGTAGATGCCATCCTTTGGTAGCTAATATTTGCTACCCAATGGTTATCTACAAGGCTTCTTATCAGTTGGAAAAAAGATGAGGGTTGGCAAGGGTTTGCTGGTCCAAAGAATCAGTAAGCCACTGTCTGAAGCCTCAGAAAGTCTTAAAATAACATAATATGGTTTTCACCTGCATGGAGGTGAAACTACCAGGGAGAAGATCTGAAACTGCTACTAGAGAAACAAAATAAAGAAAATTTCCCCTGTCTCCCAAGAAGAAGACACCAAAAACCCCCACCTCTATGGCTAAATACACATAGAAGGACTCACCTGGTATCTCCTGCTGTTGGAGGACAAGAAGAAGAAGCTACGCAGATTAATAAGGCTCCTCAATGGGAGGCTTTTATACGCTTTCAGAAGTCAGCCCCCGGGAGCTGATGACAACAGATTAACTTGATGACCAGAATCTTTCACAACCAGAACTTGCTCCACTGACACCTCCATACACCTGGACTTCAGTCAAGGTCTGTGAGAGATACCTCCTCTTTCAGGTGCGGGGGATTTGTTGTTTTTAATACAAGGCACACCCAATCTGGTAATAACTGGCTAATTTATTAATAATTCATCTTGTCCCGACCCTGGGCAATGATCCCACAACTGAAGTCAGATTTGAGAGATGGCTCAGATCCACTCTGGAGTTAGCAGAACATGTTTGGATAAAGTTTAGGTGTTTGCTGACAGTTTTGTCTGTGATCACCAGGACAGATCTCCAGCTGGCAGAAATCTGAGTGGAGTGGGGGAGATCTGTGTGCTGCATCCCAGCTCCTGGGAAGGGCAGCAGGTCTGTGTTTGGCAGCTTGTGTCCTTCATTATTTCCTTTCCCCAAAAGGGGAATTAAACATTTCATATTGCCAAGAAATTAGAAAGTTTTCCCCTTATTTTTCCTTGTTCTTTCACGTAGTTTTTCCCTGAAACAACTAGAATTTATTTTATTTTATTTTATTTTATTACAAACACTGGGTTTGGCTTGCTGAAGTTGTGGTGGAATTTCTTGAGGTTTGGGGATCATCCATGTTTCAGAAAAATGCTGATCCCTTTGAAATTCTTCCAAGGAAGGAAAAGAGTAAATGTTTCAACTGAAACCTTGTCTTTAGCTCTAATGGAAAAGTTAGTTCCAGTTTCCCTTGAGTATTCCTCAATGCTTTGCCCTCTGGGGGTCATATTCAACCCTATGAATTACAGCCCAGTCTCTACTACGGATGTGTGATACATGAAGAGATGATGGACATGGTTTCTACTGGGTATAGGAGAGCAGAAGGTGCTAATGGAAAGAACATCATCTCCATATCTTAATATCTATCATTCATGCTTGATTTACGAGGGGTTTTAATGACCCTGAGGCTGATATGGACCAAATGTCACTAATTTGTTGTAAATATCCAGGAGAATCTTAGCAATGCTCAGAACTAACCACAGGTGCATAGGAGAGCAGTGAGTCAGGGCTTTTGCAACACCTTTTCCTACAGGTGCAGGAAGCACGATGAGCACAACCCAACAGGTCTTTTCTGCCACTTCCTCTGGGGTTCTCAGAGCTGCCTGCTCCCAATTACAATTACTACGCTCACAGTAGAGAGGGAGGGAAGAAAAAGATGTTAAATGACTAACACAGCTGATAGAGGTGGATGAAGGTGCTTGGAAATCAGTCAGAGGTGACTAACTTATGGGATGGATCTCATTAGTTGTTGCATATGACCTCCTGACTAAGACTTTTTCCGTGCCTGAATGTGGGCACTGATGCTACACCTGCAAGCAGTTATTAACGAGGCAAAGTTCATCGTTGAGTCCCCAAAGATTTGGATTCAAGAGTAAGAATTAGAGGTGGACGTTCCTCGTCTCCCCCCTCCATTTTCCTGCTGTTGGATATCTGGTCCACCTACCCCTGCTTTGTCTCTCTGAACTGAAAGGTGTGTTCAGGTGTTGAATTTGTTTGCCTTACTGAGACGTGTTTTGCCCATCATGATTCCTGTTCGTTGGTGTCACCTTTTGGTGTTGACAGATAGAAGACAAAAAGGAATCTACTATCAAACTCTTTAGACCTGCACACAAGGTTTCATTAAAAGCTTGATTTGGTAACAGTGTTTACACACACCTAAATATAACTCTTTTCTTTGCTAGATTAGATGTTCTCCACCCTTGCTGTAATGATATGGTACGTGGATAGCAATTCTCTACATCCCAGACATGGAAATTGTGTGGCCATCACGGAGAGAGAGGTAAGCAAGTCACATGCCCAGTATGGCAGACAATGGGAGCATTATCCTTGAAACTCAACATTTAAATGTCTAAAACATCTCTCCAGAGCATGGGCCTCCTTCAATTTCAAAATTATGACACCAAATAAAGCAGATGATGCATTTATAAGTGAATTAAAGCACGATTGTACCTGCCAGACGTTAATGAACCTGAAGTGCCAACCGCTCAATCAGTCAGGGATGTGACTTCTCCTTGTTGCAGATGGGGAATGGATAGATAACAAGAGTGAGACCTGCCCAAAGCCACTCAAAGTATCTGCAGTAAACCTGGGAACAAAATTTGCAGTCTTGCAGGGCTTGGACCTGTTCCTGAACCACAAAAAGATTCATCTCCCGAAGCCAAATGCCCTACTTCCTATATTGAGTCAGTGAGGATCATGGGAAGAATTCATTAAAAAAAACAACAACATTTTCATCTTCATCAGAACGTTTATAAGAAATAATTAAAATCTTAGCAGGAACATTTCAATTTCTTCTTTCTTAGATTTGGGGCTTTCTTGCACTTCAATTTCCCTTTTAAAAGTTTCTAAGATTTGCCTCCAAAATCTAGAGATATAAAGATCAAAATTCTATCATTAATAAAGGTGAAAATTAAATTTCTATCATTGTTTTCAAGTAGGACAAAGCTACTTCTTTTAATTTTCTTTTTTATAGCTGTCAGGAAAGTATTGACTGGCTGATGCTTTGTTTATGGTATTAGAAGACATTGATCCATGCTCTCATGCATGCTGTCTCTGTTTACAACACTGCACCATTGCAGGAACAAGTCCTCCACAACCATAACAGCTTTTAGAAGCTAAACCAAAGGAAGAGGTTCTTGGATCCAAAAACATGGAAACGAGGAGATGAAAGCAAGACAAAAGACACATGATGCCATCAATGGTCAATTTTTATTGCTGCACATAGATATTAAAAGAGGACATATATGAAAAGACAAGATGAGAATTAAAGAACAGAAGGGGACATATCTTCCAACATCAACTGCTTCCAGTTCAGCCATTGCTAAATAACTTCCCAAGACGCCCAGCAGTATAATGTTGGCCAACTGCAGTTAACAAGCAAAAGGTGCTGAGATAGCAGTAGCAGAAATATCATGGGAAGCAAAAATACAGGCTGGAAACATCTTGGAAATATTTTCCAAGACAAAGAGAGCATTTGGGGTAAGCAGGTCAGGAGATGTCTCGGTACGTCGCAGGTGGGTCTGTAACCTTGTTTTTCATTCCATGGATCCTCATGAGCTGATGGTTATTGCAATGCACCAGAGCTGCATGCAAAGCTCATGCGTTGAAGTGATCAGCATCGGCGAGAGCACGGTTCCAGACACACCGTCTCGCAAGACTCAACGCACTTGGTGGTGCACACCTCCACGCAGGGGGCTTGGCAGGGCTCCACGCACTTGGTGGTGCACTTGGTGACGCAGGGCTCTACGCACTTGGTGGTGCACTGGGTGACACAGGGCTCCACGCACTTGGTAACACACTGGGTTGGGCATTGAGTAGGACACGGCTTTACACAGACATCGATGCACTTAGGGGGACAGACCTCCACGCACTCGGTGACACACTGGGTTGTGCATTGAGTAGGACACGGCTTCACGCAGACATCGATGCACTTAGGGGGACAGACCTCCACGCACTGGGTGCTACAGGGCTCCACGCACTGAGTGGTACAAGTCGTGGTGCACTGGGTGGCACAAGGATCCACGCATTGGGTGGTACAAGTCGTGGTGCATTGGGTGGCACAGGGCGTTGGGCAAACCTCCACGCAGGGCGTGGGGCAGGGCTTCACACAGATGTTGCTGCAGGGATCCACGCAAACCTGCTGGCAGGGCTCCACGCACTTGGTGCCTTTCTGTGCACAAACGGGAGGGGGCACGCAGGGCTGTTTGCGCTGCTCGTAGTAAGACATCCTTGTGAAGGTGCTGGTAAAGCTAAAGACAAAGATAAGAAGAGATAGAATCATAGAATCATGGAATCAGAGAATGGTTTGGGTTGGAAGGGACCTTCAAAGATCATCTAGTCCAACCCCGCTGCAGTCAGCAGGGACATCTTTACTAGAGCAGGTTGCTCAGAGCTCCATCCAATCTGACCTTGAATATCTCCAAGGATGAAGCCTCCACTACTTCTCTGGGCAACCTGTTTGAATGATCTACCTTGAGCTAAAATTCACAACATGAGCTCTTAAAACATAGATAGCAGTGAGCTGGTGGACTGAGAAAAGAATTGTTAGAAAAAAATTGCCTGTGTGAATGATTTCTGGATTCAGACATACGCAACTAACGCTGCCAGATTATTCCTTCCTTCCTTGGGAACCTGCAAACATCACTGTCAGGAAGACTAGAGCCATAAACCCTGAATTTTATAGAACTGCACACAGTTAAACTTTGTAGAGGCCATAACGTGAAAATAGCTCATTTCCTTATTTTCTTAATTAAATCAGCAGAGGTTCCATCTTTTGCTTATCAGTTCTTCAGTTCCTCACTCACACCCCAGAGCGCATCTCCCTTTGTGTAGATGTTGAGCTGCTGCTAACGCCTGAGGATAAAGCCCAAAGACCACAAATTCACACTCTATCCCAAATCTTCCAGCTACCTATCGTCATTAGAGTCCTATCAAAATTAATAGGCTCATCCTTTCATAAAAGAAGAGTTGGCCCAGAGGTTGCAGCTCCTGTTTCCAATTCATTTCCTCATCTTGACTTCTCCCAGATGTCTCCTGCAGCTTTGCCCTCAGGTATTCTGCAGCTTCCTTCTTCCAAATAATGCTTCTTCCCACCCAACTCTTTTGAAGTCCCCAAACTTACTCTGCAGCATCCACTAATTTATTTAATTTCCAGGCTTAATGAGGTATGGAAAAAATTAACAAAGATAGAATATGAAGGAGAAGAGGCAGTCAGTTTCTGAAGAGGTGACAGGACATTTGCAAGCTACTTAAGGAAGAACAAACTCTAAATAAGAGTCAAACATCCTCTCCGTCATTCCAGTCCAAATCCTGGAATAGAAACACTAGAAGCAAAGCTCTCCTGTAATCAGTAACACATTTTCTTAACCAGAATAACCAAGTAACAACAACCATCGCATTATTCCCTGATAAATCCAAGACTTACCAGTTCACCAATGCAGATGAGTGAGGGAGAAGCCAAATAAACTGGTGTGAGCATCAAAATGCAAACCTTTTTATATGGGTTGCATGGCGTCATCTCCGGAAACAAGGGAGCCCAGGGGTATGGACACCTGACCACTAACTACCTGAATAGGCTCCACCTAGACATGCTTTACATATTTGTTTACATCCTAATTTTTGATGGAAACCCTCTTCCAGGAAAAGCATGTGAGCTTGAGCAAATTCCGCTTCCACCTAATACCAGAGTCAGGTGGTTCCCAACAGGAATGACACAGTAATTAAAAATATCAAGCATCAGATTAATTGCTCTTCAAAAAAAGATTTAATACGACGCTTGGATATTTTCATCTCCTTATTTCCATAAACATCTGAATGATACCTTGGGTGGTTTTTCTTTTTCAATGCAGTGAGAAAGGATTGCTATTATTAGGGAAAACGAGCAATTGATCTCATTTACGATGAGAAATAGCTTGTCCTCATTCTCATGGTAAGAAACAACTAATCCTACAGCGCTTCCACAAACTGTTTCTCTAATATATTTTAACCATTCAATACACCCAACCCATTCCTCTTCACCTTCTATCAACAATGTTCATGCTTGACAATGCCAATGGGGACACAACTCCAAGTTACCTTGAGGATTTCTTCACGCCATTCAGGGGAAAGTAAAGGGACATTGATTTTAAAGGTATTTTTCACTGCCAGAGCAGTGTAAAAATCTTTAGTTTCCATGGAATTTAGGCCCAGGACTCCATATTAGCATATTGAAGCCTTTCGTTGATCATGAGATCTCAATTAGCTCCACAGTATGGAAAATCTTTATTTCTCTGAGATATTCCAATCACGGATGTGGAATGTGATCATCAGACTACATTTAGGTGACCAAATTCCTCAATGAGATCACTTACACAAATGCTAAATGGGCAAAAAAAAAAAAACCAACAAAACCCAATCCCCAAAAACCAACCAACTCATTGAGCACAAGCAGTGCATCCTGTTTACACTGGAAACCAGGAGTCCCACTGGAGAGTTGCTGGTATTGGCACTGGTTCCTTTCTAGTGTTTGCATGGGGAAACTGGGATTCCTGTCCTAAACCCATGTGAGTGGATGGATTTGCATTGCTCTTGACATCCTCCTAGAAGCACCTCATGGTTCATTTAGTCTTTCTGCTTCTCTTCCTTTGCTGGAGAGACTCACTTGTCCCCTCAAGACCCATACTGCTGCACTGGTGGCTTTTATAGATGATAGGAAGAAATTCAATAGGGACTTGTACAGTGTGGTTTGCTTGTCTTAGACATCTGCGTCAGGGTGAGGAGAAACTCCCATGTCTGCATCAAATAGACCTTGCAGATTGTAAAATGAACAGAGAGCAACAAGCTCAGATTTAGGCGTCTAATATTTTGAGAGATTGATCTCTCCCCATCTTCTCCTCCTAGACCTAACCCTGCTGGGTGATGCTCAGCAAGCAATTATCCTCCAGTATTTTTAGATGCCCTCATAGCAACAGGCTCCAACACTTATCTTGTTGAGGAGTTTCTCATAATCCGGTTTGTACAGTTCTTCACGCTTCCCTAGAGCTCCAGGCTCACCTCGGAAACCAATGTTGAGGACCGGTCCTACGTCTCCATTTCTATAGTGGGTTATGGTATTACCCTGTTGTTATATTTGATTAGCAAGAAATGGTAATGACTTCTAAGAGAAATAGACATTTTAGGAGATATAAATTGATCTGCCTTTGTCATATGTGGGAACATCTGAGGGCTGGATTATTATTCTTAATTGACACTTATTTGTGGATCTCTACTATATTTATGAGCAATTCAGTCATTTGACTGGTCACATTAACGTCCGTGAGTCAGGACCCCACAGCAACATCCTTTCGTGGCCACCCTGCTTTGGCAAAAAAAACTGAAAAGAAGTGATTTCCGAAATCTGACACTTCTGGAATCTTATTTAATTAACATGTGTTAAGGTCTCCTGCAGAACCAGAGGCTGATGTGATGGGTAGTGCTTCGATAAAAAGAGCAGGACAGTGAAAAGCTGAATCAGAAGAGATTCCTGGAGCCCAGGAGATTATAAACTCCCCTACCCAGAGGTTTATCTAGTGCTGCAGAAGAGAAGTCTCCTTAGCACCTGGTGCTCAGGAGAATATTTCCTAAAAAGTCAATAAAAAAGAATATGGGCACACTTTTTGGTTTCAAATAATCCAAGATTTCATGTTTCACCACCAAAAGACCTACCAAAGATGGAGGGACATCAAGGTTGGGGCCATTTGCTTACAGCTTGAAAATTTGCCTGCAGACCTGAGACACCGCATGGTCACAGAGTCATGATTGTTCACGTGAATATAGAACTTCAGGATGTGCAGATGACATGATTTTTTGATGGAAACATCTCAAATTGAGTTTTTTCCCTGTACAGATGTTTGAATACGCACCATTGTGGGCTGTTCAACTGAATTTCTGCTAGAAAAACTGGTTATTTCATAAACTGATTAACACTTTGCTTTAAAAATACGACACTTCTGAATTTCTTTACGTTCTTTGCTTTACCTAAAAGCTTCCTAAGTGAGATTTTTTTTCCTCTGTGGCATCCTGCACTCATTGGCATCAGGGATTTTGTTTTCCTTATGTGTAGCATCCCATATAGTACATGACCCACGTTTTGGTGAGCAAAGCATTTTCACAGAGATCAAGGATTCTCCTCATATTCTCAGCATGGTCCTCCGAGCCCTAATCTCCTGCATTTTGTCACAATTAAATATTAAAGTTGGAGGCTTCATTACACCCAACTTTCCCCTCTCATCATTCCCTACCACAACACTTAGGGAAGGTGTGAAGATGTGATCCAACACCAAGGGTTGCTTCTTGGTGGGGTTTGGTTTGGAGGTTGCTGATCCATCACTTCAGCTTTGGAAATCATCACATAGCTGAGATACCAGGAGGTTGAGTACAGAATGCAATTAGCCTCACATGAAAACAAGTGGCTTGTCTACTCCATGCCCTAAGGACAATTTGATTAAGTAATTAGATCATTACTTCTAGGCTTGAGAGGAACCCCAAGACGGCACTATCTGTCTCTTTTCCTGTTTACTCAGGAAGGTGAGTGCTCAGTGAAGAATGATAAGTGAGCATCTGAATGCAATTAAAGGTGAAAAAGAGGAACTAGCTGTGGTAATTAAATAAAAAACCAACCAACCCTTATCTCTTTTAATTTTTGTCTTCTGATTATTGCAGATAGTTGCTTTGATTTCCCAATATTTTACAAGGGGAATCTAGCTTTCCTTAGGATTTTTTTTATATTAAATAAATAAAACTGTGGCCTGATCTTTGAGGAACACATTTTTAGAGCTCGGAGCACATTGCCTGACAGAACAAGAACTGTGGGTCTCCAATATTTGCTTATGCTGAAGAGCAATTTTGTTCCCTAACTGTTCTAACAGTTTCACAGATGTAGTACAAACATTCAGGTGTTCAGGAAGGAAAGATCTTTGTTTCTCTTCCTACGGCACAATCTTGTGATGTTCACCTAGAAATGAAGAGTCTGCTCTCTGCTAATGGTGTCGGCCTTTTAAAATCTGAATTTCTAAGTTGATATGAAGGATTAAATAGAATGCAAGCATCGTGCCATCAGAAGGATGTTACAGAAATAAGAATTGATGAGAAAAAAATTATCTGAATGCCATTTTCTCCACCTGCAGTTTCTTATTTCCCCAGAAGATCCTGCCATTTGATTTAGGAGCAGGAGTAAAGGAAATGGTTGCTTGCACAGAACCTTTTCATGAGTTTTGAAGGAGTTTTGGAGTCAAAACAGATCTCCACAGAGGTGATTAGGAAGCCTCTAATGATTTGGAATTTCCATTCTGTAGCATTTGTGCTTAGGTCATGCTTAAAGCACTCACCGAAGTCCAGATATTGTGGCAAAAGCCAAGGTCTGCCACGACCTACTGAAAGAGGAAGACACAACCAGAAGAGCTATGAAGGTGGAATGATGAGAGGAGGACACAACAAGAAGAGCTATGAAGGTGAAATGATGAGAAGAGGACACAACAAGAAGAGGTATGAAGGTGGAATAATGAGAGGAGGACACAACCAGAAGGGCTGTGAAGGTGGAACGATTTGTGTGAGGCCGGATCTCCCCAACCCACGTGCACTGCCACATCCGTTGGGTCTGATTTATCATGTCCCACTGTTGGTCAGACTCATCTACTAGAAAAAGTGAGACAGTGATAATTGTAGGTTAGTCAACCAGCCATGTGACCTGGGGCATCTTTAAAGAAGGAGACAGTGGGTGCTTGGAGACGAAGCTGCGCCTACATCTGCTGTTTCAGCAGCTGGGCTGGCTTCCCCCCAACTCTGCTTCTCCATCTCTCCTCCCTTCTGCAGTTGCTGCTAAACCCAATCCCACTCTGCACCATCTCTGCTCTGGAAACCTGCAGAGCACAACCCCTTGGGTGACTTTGAGTCCCCAAGGATGTTCTTTACTCCTGGGTGAGCAATTTTCAAACAAATGTGGTGCTAAGGAGGAAGCATTGGGATCATCTTAGCAGATATTCATGGAGGGTTACCAAAACCATCCAAGAAAAATCATCCACCTCGCTAATACTGACAACATTTCTGCAGAATTCAGTGGTGGGGGAATCTGTGTCATCTCCTTAACTGATGAGACTCACCCAATTGCCACCAGAGACAAGGAAATAGAACTCAGTTGCAAAAAGCTGAGATAGAACCTCTTACACATGGGTGACAAAGTCACGAGGCACAATCTCCCAGACCTGCTCATCTTCCCCTCGTTAGTGGCTCGTTTACCCACTGCTTGTCATGGGACATTTAATTTCAGCCTGCAGGATGCAGACACAGCTGCCCCTGAGCTCCTCCAGCTTTAGAGGAGCACTTCAGCACATGGTTGGGTTTTCAAAGCTTTTACAAAACTATAGGATAGAGGTGCTTCCTCATCCTCTCTCCCAGTAATGATCTGGAATATAGACCTACTGGACCCAGTCCAGAGGCCACAAGGATGATCCAAGGGCTGGAGCAGCTCTGCTATGAGGACAGGCTGAGGGTTGGGGCTGTTCAGCCTGGAGAAGAGAAGGCTCCGGGGAGACCTTCTAGTGGCCTCCCAGTACCTGAAGGGGCTCCAGGAAGGCTGGGGAGGGACTTTGGCCAAGGGCAGGGAGTGACAGAACAAGGAGAAATGGTTATAAACTGGATGAGAGTAGATTGAGATTAGGAAGAAGTTCTTCACTGTGAGGGTGGTGAGACACTGGCCCAGGTTGCCCAGAGAAGCTGTGTCTGCTCCTCCCTGGAAGCGTTCAAGGCCAGGTTGGATGAGGCTTTGAGCAACCTGGTCTAGTGGAAGGTGTCCCTGCTGCTGGCTCATGGAACTAGATGATCTTTAAGGTCCCTTCCAACCCAAACCAGTCTAGGATTCTATGATCCCAGAGAAGGTCCCAGGTCTCCAGCTATTGCCTTAGACCTTCCCATGTTTAGGGCGGGCCCTGCCACTCTACAGAAGAAATGAAAAGGAGAAAGTGTGAGTCTGGGGGAACGCAAAGGTGAAGGAAACACCTGCAGACAGCTGATGTCAAGATCACTTTTTTTTTGTTTTTTAATTGCTTCATACAAGAAAAGGAGAAGATGGCAGGAAAGAACAAACGAGGAAGTTCCTCCATCCATATCAGTGCAAAGAAGAATTGTAGACTCTCTCTCCCGGGCAATATTCCCGGGGGCACAATATCGATTGGTTACAAGTTACAAGGAAAAGTGACGTTCTTGAGGTGAACACAGCAGAAATTATGCAGAACATAAGGAGAACTGCTCGAGGATTGACTCTTCCTGGGACAGGAAGGACACTAGGAAAGCAAAGATGTGAGGAAGACGTTGGTAGGTTCAGGGATCTGCAAACCATTTTCATTCCTTAGATTTTGGAGACATCAAAGAGTCTCTGCAGAATGGGGTGGGGGGGTCCCCTCGCAGCTGCCACCACAGGAGCCCCCACGTGTAGCCCCTCAAGGAGCCACGCATTTACGACAGCAGACATCTGCACAGGAGATGGAGTAGCGCTGGCCACAGGGAGGAGAACATACACCCACGCACTGTGGGGTGGCTTGTGTCACACAGGAGGTGGGACAGGAATCCACACACTTGGTAACAGCCTGAACACCCTCACAGCAGGGATCTACACACGTGGTGGTGCACTTGGTCACTTCTTGACAGCAGGGATCCACGCACTTGGTCACATCTTGGCAACAGGGATCCACACACTTGGTCACATCTTGGCAACAGGGATCCACACACTTGGTCACATCTTGGCAACAGGGATCCACACACGTGGTGGTGCATTTGGTCACATCTTGGCAGCAGGGATCCACACACTTGGTCACTTCTTGGCAGCAGGGATCCACACATGTGGTGGTGCACTTGGTCACATCTTGGCAGCAGGGATCTACGCACGTGGTGGTGCACTTGGTCACTTCCTGACAACACTGATCCACACACGTGGTGGTACATTCACTCACACCTCCACAGCATGGATCTACACATCTGGTCACTTCCTTGCAGCAGGGATCCACACATCTGGTGGTGCACTTGGTCAGTTGCCCACAGCATGGATCCACACATGTAGTGCATCTGGTTACATATCCACAGCATGGATTCACATATCTGATGGCACATTTCCTCACCCCTCCACAGCATGGATCCACATATCTGGTGATCACTTCTCTACAGCATGGATCTACACACCTGGTGATGCACTTGGCCACCTCTCTGCAGCATGGATCCACACACCTGGTGGTGCACTTGGTCACTTGGTCACAGCATGGATCCACACACCTGGTGGTGCACTTGGTCACTTGGTCGCAGCATGGATCCACACACCTGGTGGTGCACTTGGTCACTTGGTCGCAGCATGGATCCACACACCTGGTGGTGCACTTGGTCACTTGGTCGCAGCATGGATCCACACACCTGGTGGTGCACTTGGTCACTTGGTCGCAGCATGGATCCACACACCTGGTGGTGCACTTGGTCACTTGGTCGCAGCATGGATCCACACACCTGGTGGTGCACTTGGTCACTTGGTCGCAGCATGGATCCACACACCTGGTGGTGCACTTGGTCACTTGGTCGCAGCATGGATCCACACACCTGGTGGTGCACTTGGTCACTTGGTCGCAGCATGGATCCACACACCTGGTGATGCACTTGGTCACTTGGTCGCAGCATGGATCCACACACCTGGTGGTGCACTTGGTCACTTGGTCACAGCATGGATCCACACATTTAGTGGTGTATCTGGTGACACCTCCACAGCATGGATCTATGCATCTGGTGGTACATCTGGTCACAGCTCCACAGCATGGATCCACACATTTAGAGGTGTATCTGATGACACCTCCACAGCATGGATCTATGCACCTGGTGGTGCGTTTGATCACTTCTCCACAACATGGATCAAAGCATGTGGTGGCACATCTGGTCACAGGTCCACAGCATGGATCTACACATCTAGTGGTGCACTTTCTCACTTCCTCACAGCATGGATCTACACATCTGGTGGTGGTGCACTTGGTCACTTCTTTGCAGCATGGATCTACACATCTGGTGGTGCACCTGGTCACTTCCTTGCAGCAGGGCTCCACACACTTCGTGGTACACTTGGTCACTTCCTCACAGCATGGGTACATCTGGTCACAGCTCCACAGCATGGATCCACACATTTAGAGGTGTATCTGATGACACCTCCACAGCATGGATCTATGCACCTGGTGGTGCGTTTGATCACTTCTCCACAACATGGATCAAAGCATGTGGTGGCACATCTGGTCACAGGTCCACAGCATGGATCTACACATCTAGTGGTGCACTTTCTCACTTCCTCACAGCATGGATCTACACATCTGGTGGTGGTGCACTTGGTCACTTCTTTGCAGCATGGATCTACACATCTGGTGGTGCACCTGGTCACTTCCTTGCAACAGGGCTCCACACACTTCGTGGTACACTTTCTCACTTCCTCACAACACGGATCCACACATCTGGTGGTGGTACACTTGGTCACTTCCTCACAGCACCGATCTTCACATTTGGTGGAGCACTCGGTCACTTTGCCACAACACGGGTCCGCACACGTGGTGGTACATTGGGTCTCTTCCTGACAGCACTGAGGCACACACGTGGTGAGCCCAAGGTAGCACGGATCCAGCAATCTGGCAATCTGTGTCGCACCAAGGTTACCCAGGTTCACGTAAGTGGTGGTACCTCGAGGGATCCCAGAGCAGCAGCAGGGATCCACACGTGGAGGTAAGCACTGGATGTTACAGACGGTGCCACAGGGATCCAGACATTCTCTCACGGGAAAACTCTTCACCAGGACGGTGGGAGGTGGAAGGCAGAACTGTCTCAGTTGACAATCATTTTGGCCTTGCATCTTTGAGGGAAGGGGAATGTCTGAAAGCAGGAAAGGAATAGGCTTTGTGAAAAATATTCAGCTTTCTCCAGGCTATTTTTTATATTTATATTTTCTATTTTAAATATTTTTTATATTTGTAATAT